TCCACCACGTGGCACCACGTTCCCTAAGAGTATTACGATTACCGAGGTGCTATAATCCTCGTGGACCTAATTTTCGTCCTTTAATTAAATGTTCGACTGATCGCTGCCCCGGTTGATATTCGACTAATTATCAGTGAACAAAGCACGGCAGGTAATTGGTACCGGGAAATCGATTTCGTTCGATGATCGGCAGATCACGTTGTCGATTCGAGACATTATCATATCTAACGCGAAACGAGTCATTCTGAAAACGGAAAACTCATGAAATTCATAACGTTGGGCGTTGCTCGTTGGAACCTGGAAATTTATTGAACGACGGAAATTGAGTCTTCGAATAAAATTGATCGTTTTGTAGATGAAATAATGAATGATTCATTAATTTCTTCTCGTCGTAAGAACCTAATTAAAATAATTCGGAATTAATAGAAATATAATCTCTTCCATTTATTGAGATTACGCTTAATCAATGAAAATAAATCCTCGAACGAAATCATTTTTCTCATCGAGTAAAAATTGTCCCCGAGAAAAAAATTGATATTTGGAAATTATTTAGTAGTATTTTCTACAAGAACCTTTTAACCCTTTGTTCACGTCCGACTTTGAATTTCATTCTTCTTTCGAATTTCTTTCGAGGTGAATTTTCATGCCTGCCAACTATCCCTTGCAATAGTCGATTCAATCATTGATCATTGATAAATTAAACTAAAGACTTCGAATAATAAGTGTCCCATGAATTTTTCGAATGTCGAGAAGACAAGTTACTTCATCTGCTACTTTATTTCACGTGATGTCAGTGACAACGTTAGTGAAAAATATAATTAATCCCGCGGACGGTCAATTTGTCAGAACGAACAGTTTGGTAGTTTTCCAGAGTTAATTTTCATCCACAAAGACATCATCCGCGTCTTTTAACACTGTCATTCGAAAATTTACTCGAAAAATTCGTCGCGTCGATTGTTTCACTGTTCAATCGACCGAAACGAAACGAGAGCTTCAAGCGAAACGGATCGTTTCGAAGGAAGAGAAGGTCTTCGAATCAGACCGGCACGGCTATTCAATCGAAGCTTAAATATCGAGATATGTAATTGTAAGAATGGTCGCGCCAGCGTCGTTTACACGGAACATTACAAGAGAAACGTGATCGATAATCGCGAACGTTGATGCGTTTTCCCGGGCTTTCATGCGCGTGAAAAACAGACTTCGATCAACGACGAATGTTTGCACAGATACGGAAATCTACCCATCGACGCATCGAACGAACCGCGATAACCGAGTGAAACGCTCGCTTTCTCCACAACAGAGACAGAGCGAAACTCCGCTATCGGAACTTTATCGGGGAAACTGCGTCGAATTTTTCCATCAGCTTTTCGCATTCCCCTTAATTCCCGTGAATTCTTGGAACCGTTCGTTGGACTACAAATTCTGAAAGAGGAATGTACGTTTCGTTCGACAGACAACTGTTGCGAGACAGCAGAATGAAATCTGTTCGAGAAACTAAAGTATGTTGGGGAAAAATCTCCAACGATCGAAAGTTTCGAATTGAAAAATTCGCAAAGCCGTGTCAAATTCTTAAATTCTTTCACGAAACCGACTGTACACGAGTCTGTATAGAATGTTCGCGCCGAGTATATTAATTGTTTCACGCGATTAAGTATTCATAAATTTGCGTGTTTTTCCAATAAGGGAAATTACATGCTTCTATTTTCGACGCGTTGAACCGGTTTTCCCGTGATATTCTAGGCTACCTAGCCTCGTAACGTCAACAACAACGTGTCGCCTTCGACATGATTGAAACGCGAAACGAAAATATTTATTCGCCATTTTCTCCGGCCTGATACACGTCTACTAAATCGTGGTTATCGATTCGAGGCACTGTCGATCATCGGAACACACAGAAAGAGAGAGAGAGAGAGAGAGAGAGAGAGAGAGAGAGAGAGAGAGAGAGAAAAATCAGAGGAAATTTCTGTTCGTAGAGGAAGGAACGCTAGATGGAAAATTTCTATCTTTACGCGAGGATTAATGAAATTTTTAAACGCGAACATGATCCACCTCTATTTATATATATAAATTTAAATTGACTTTTAGATTTCTTAAAGTCGGCAGCTTTCAGAATGACGATTCTACAAACAAACAAAAAGTCCGACAGAACTTCATTGAATTGCATTGAATCTGATTACGTACTTGCATAAATTGAGTTTAAATTAAATGCAATTAAAATCGCGTTAACGACGATTGAAATCACGTTTAAAATACTTACTTACTTACGTTAAAGTCACGTGTTGATTATACTAATCTGAGTAATAATATCGGAGATTATACCGCAATTTCATCAAATATCGTTATCAACCATTGTACAGTCATCCGAGTACAATGAAATCGATACTACTTGAAAAGAATCTAAACACTTGAATTATCGTGTGAAGATAGCTGGGAGTCGAGAGACTCTCAATCTTCGAAACCGTCGAAACCGTCTCCGGAAATCCTCAAAACTGCTCGAGTAATAAAATTCAGAGGCAATCTCTCTCGCGAACGAAACTCTCCCCTCCTCTCACCCCCTTGCCAAATCCCCGGCAAAACACACCTGTTCCTCTCCGGCAAATCAACTCGCACGACACACAATTTCAACAATCACCTGCGCAACTGTCACGACTGTCATCGATTACTATTTTCTTTCAAATTAAACGAACGCGCAGGAGACGTCGGACGCTTGAATGAAGACGCTTTCGATACACTCGTGCTCGTACAGATCGACCGTTGCAGACTGAGTCGATCAACGATTCCTATTTGTCGTGCTCGTGATTGTAAACAGGCTTCGTCGTCCTGGCACGCGTGTCCTGGCACACAAGAGCACGTCACCTGGCGCGATACTCGCGAGCAGCGAGCGAGATCCTCCTTGCTCGCGTACCGACTGCCAACTGAGGCCAGCCACGTCGCGAGCTGTTGCTTATACGCTGATCCAGCCAACGTGTACCTGCGTGACGTGACCGTTTCCTCGTCAAATGTCGCGATTTGCGAAATTTGCTGCACTCGCTCGCTGATAAACTCGCGGATAGAACGTCTCGGCTGCAGAACTGAATGGCCAGAAAAAATATTCGGGCCACCTAACTCCTCTGCGAGCGACCAACGAATCGATCTCCAATCGATGCTCGAGCATCACTGAACTGTTGATGAGTTTGTGAAGATATTTTTGGTATAGTTGGTAAAGTTCAATTTGAAGCTCGAAGCCTCTAGTCTAAGCTTCGTCTTATCAAAGTAATATAAATTCAAATGTATTTTTTATTAACAGTAAATATAAATCTAGTAAAAGTCTAAATATAAATCTATATAGTAATCTAGTATCTAGTATCAAGTACCAAGTACCAAGTATCGAGTATCTAGTATCTGGTTTCTAGTAAATCTAGTACATAGTAATCTAGTATATAGTATTTAGAATTATATATAGTAAGTATAATTCTAAATATAAATCTAAATGTATTTTTTATTAACAGTAAATATAAATCTAGTAAAAGTCTAAATATAAATCTATATAGTAATCTAGTATCTAGTACCAAGTACCAAGTACCATCTAGTATCTAGTTTCTAGTAAATATAGTACATAGTAATCTAGTATGTAGTATTTAGAATTATATATAGTAAATATAATTCTAAATATAAATCTAAATGTTAACAGTAAGTTATTAACAGTAAATATAAATCTAGTAAAAGTGTAAATATATATCTATGTAGTAATCTAGTATCTACTATCAAGTACCAAGTACCAAGTATCAAGTATCTAGTTTCTAGTAAATCTAGTAATCTAGTATATAGTATTTAGAATTATATATAGTAAATATAATTCTAAATATAAATCTAAATGTTAACAGTAAGTTATTAACAGTAAATATAAATCTAGTAAAAGTTTAAATATAAATCTATATAGCAATCTAGTATCTAGTATCAAGTACCAAGTACCAAGTACCAAGTATCAAGTATCTAGTTTCTAGTTTCTAGTAAATCTAGTACATAGTAATCTAGTATATAGTATTTAGAATTATATATACTAAATATAATTCTAAATATAAATCTAAATGTATTTTTGTTAACAGTATCTAACATATTGCGTATCTAAATGTATCTACACATTAATATGTAATTGATAATATAAATATAAATATATAAATATATTTTGAAAATAAAGCCTTGAGCATCTAAAAATGTTTATTTTGTTCTTCACTGAGCGTTCTTACATCACACAACGTAAGATGGCAAAGTGGAGATACTTTTCTCCTCGGAAATGGAATTGTCGTAGTTGAAACATTTTTTCTCGTGGACTGAATCCACCATGGATTGAAGATTTAAGACTCGAGCTACCTTGGAAAATTTGATACACGAATTTCTTTCTTTTCTTTTTTCTTTTCTTTCTTTCGTGACATTCGATGTAATTCCAGATAACTTTGAAAGTTACATTCATCTCGAACAGATTTTTGAGATTTTTTTCAGCTAAAACACGAATCACGCGTGTTAATAAATCGGATTGATCGACCGTATTATTTATTCAATCGCGACGATTTACGTAAACACGCTTTCCCGCCAGTTTGAATTTCTAGGTTTCATTGGGAATCCGCATCCCTCGGTCAATTTTTTGGGAAATGATTCGACGACGTTCGTTTATCAAACGAATTTCTACGTTTAATGAAAAACTAGTAATTTTAATAATCTTATCTTTTAATGTTTTAGTATAAACTCCAATATACCAATGTTTCTTTTTTTTTTTGTAATTCTAACATCCTCTCCTTGCTTTAACAAAATTACCGAGATTACTAAACGATAAATCAACAGAAACAAACGAAGGGAACTAGAATCACCTGTTAGCCCGCTTACAATTTTGAAAAAAATCACAATATTTCTTTCTTATCTTAATAAAATTACCGAAATTAATGAATTAGAATGAAATTTCCTTCGTTCAGAAAAATTAACACGACCTTTAACCCATTGTCCACTTACAATTTTGAGAAATCGCGATATTTTCGTTTGGGAAATTTCAAGTAATTCGTCCCTTATTTCAATAAAGTTAATTAATAAATAAAGATAATTAAAATCGTCTTTAACCTATCTTGGTGTTATAAAATTTCGAGAAATCAAACAAATTTCTCATTGGAAATATCGATCAAAAGAAACTGCAATAAAAATGTCGAACTACCTAATCACGCACGAAACGATAAGGTCGGTATATCTAGTTTTTACTTTGCCGATTATTTTTAAACGTCGTGTACAACGTACAATTGATAAGCGAATTATGTCAATGCAACTGATACACACACACACACACACACGTTTCCTTCTCTTTTTCATTTCACGCGATGAATCTGGGTCGTTCTGTTTGCTCGATATCCAGTTTATTTAATCGTCGGTCTGTGTACTTTTTTAACTTCGACTTTTCGCGCTTTCATTCGCCGTCAGATCTCCCATTTTTCATAAATATTCCCCACCCTTTTCACACGCTGGATTCGGCGTTTTCATTATTTATCTTCGTTTTTAGCCGGCTGCGTTTCCTCGTGTTAATTCTGTTAATAAATCTGCTTGGTATCAAATATTGATCCTGAAAATCGAGATTGCTTGCCGCGCGAGTCACACGATCCCGCGGCGTTTATTAGCTGTTCGTTTGTTTCGACAATTTATTTTCAGATGCGTGCTTCAGATGGCTGTTCGCGCCCCGAGGTTCTGCACTATCGACGAGAAAAAAATTACGATTCCGCGAAAAATAAAATGTTACAGAGTTACTTCGTAGCTCTGACTTCTGGATTTTGAAAGTTCACGTTTTTCCTTTGTAATTCCTTTGAGCAACGATTAAACGAAATTGACAATTTCCCAATTACTATTGATATTGCTTTCAAATTCACTCAGGCAAATTAATCGAATGTTTCGTTCGATTCAACTTTCCACTGATCATTCCATCCTCTGTCCTGAACCCCATAAATAATCCTCAAGAATATTCGAGAAAGGTTAAAGAAACACTCTCTCAACTCGCAGTGACGTTTATTTTTAATTAAAGAAAAAGAAAAAGAAAAAGAAAAACGAAGGAACTGTTTCTCTACCGGCGGTGTCCGTAATTCGATAACCAGAGTGACTGCAAATTAATTACAAAAATACTTCGCGACTTCCTTCCCTCCGTTTAATCTGTCCGGACGCCATTAGAAGCGAGGCAATTTTTTCCTTCCTCGCGTTTCATTTGCTGTGAAGCCGAGCGGCGAGCGTGGAGCACACGACAGGTCGAGAGGACATCGGCAAGATATTCTTACGGAGTAAGTTTCTCATGGGCGGCCATTCGTTAGCCGTTTCACGAGCGTCCGTACCGAAACGTAGCAAACTTCCAAGTTTATACTCGCCCGGGCGAGAAAGCGAAATAAAAGCTGTACTAATGACTGGCTCGTGAAACAAATGGATCGAGGATCCCGGGCGAGCATGAAGAAACTTTATTGCGGCGGGGAAAAAACCAAGGGGTGGGAGGGGGAGGGGGTGCACGCGTGTAATCTAGGGTCTCGCCCGAGGGTTTGAGATTTGCGAATCCATGAAATTTGTTGCTTCTGAGCTTTTTCACGAACCTAGCGAAAAAGTTTCTTCCTTTGCTAAGTACTTACCAACCAAAAGTACATGCGTCGATGTGTTTAAAAAAAAAAACGAACTGTGTCCGAACTGAACAGTGAACATTTCGGAATTTTAGAAACTCATCGACTGTCCTTAAATCGTTTGAAATCTATGGAATTTGCGAATAAATGGACAATGAACATTTCGAACTAACAATTGGAATTTAAAAGACGTGATTAGCTGCAGAATTATTGGAACGCGCGATGATGACTTACTGTTTTCAAATTGTTACAACTCTGTGAAAGAAAAAGAGAAACACCGTACGATCGGGTACACTTCAAAGCGCGAAGTTGTTTTCTTTCATTTATTCACACAGCGAAAAGTGAAAGTTTTTTTTTTTCTTTTGCAAAAAGAAAATTGCGAAAATTTTCGAACGACCGAAAATTCCTGCCGCGGTCAAATTGAAGTTTCTTCTGAAACTGTAGGATTTTTTGTTCCCCCTATTTCATCGAACGAATTTCTACAACAGTTTTGGCTCCATTTCTCCTCCAATTTGTACGAGGCAAAATTCGAATTCGACTTTCGAAATTCATAACAATCACCAATCTAAAAATTCTCCGAGGCCAAATAAACAGGGTAACAAAATTTCGAACCATATCGTCACGGATATTTCGTTTCGTC